AGAAGAACGAATCAGGAGCTAATGGGTAGTTAACCAGTATTAACTGGGGAACACACAGCCAAAACTTATTAGGGGACTACTGATTAGTTACCTTGTAAATGAAGAGGAACTAATCAAGAACTAATGGGTAGTTACCATGGAAACCAAAGAGAAACGAATCAGGAGCTAATGGGTAGTTAATCAGTATTTACTGGGGAACACATAGCCAAGCCTTATTTGGGGATTACTGATTTGTTACCATAGAACCAGAGGAGAGATTCTCCACGTGGGTTCTGAATAAACCTTGCACCAGTGAGGCCACAGTTCGTAATTGTCAAAAAAACAGTTTCCTACTGATTACTGGTTTTATTGGATTCTTACCACTGATTAGCAATTCCTTAATCTTGTACTGCTGTCATCTTAACTATGTCTGATTATCACTTACTGAGTAGCAAATCATTGCCTGGCTATTATTCAGAACCCACATGGAGAAATTCTCCTCTGTTTCTGTGGTAACAAACCAGTAGTCCCCTAATTTTTTAATATAGTCCTCTCAATTTTTTATTATCTCATTGTTATAAGCTACTAACCATTATTTTTCTTCAAACTAACCAAAATTTCAGGCCCTCACATTGTTAGAGTAGAACTTGTACAGTTCGTATCATCCTGTAAAGGGATACAGCACACCCTAAAACCATCCTCATTGAATCTTACCAGTCTTGGTTAAGTAATATGATAGTTTTAATTCAAAGCCACTTATAGTCCAAATTAAAACAAATAACATTTATTGGATTAAAAATAAAATATAAGCCTTTTCTTTTCATTACAAGAAAGTGTTTTTAAAAGTCCCAATTTGTTTCAAGTTTGCATCAGTTACAATTTTGTTTTCCTTAGACTCAAACCTTTATTTTAAAATAATTACATTCAGAAACAAAAAAAATAAAAATAAAATATGTATAGTATAAACACTTCAGTTTGACAAAATGTGAAATGTTTTATCACACTTTATGAATACTTCATTACTTCTTTAGCGCCAAAGGAGTCATCGGAGCTGTCGGGATTTAGTTTCATACTAACAGTTTGGAAATATCGATTACATAAAAGTAAATAAGTTACAGTTGATCATTTCTATTTCAGCAGAAATCTAGCTCTATGTTTTCTATGGAGTCTGACTGCTGTAGCACCAAACTGACATGGAGTCAAATCAAAGGACGCTTTATTTACAGAGTGCAAACCAAAGACGTGATTAAAAAAACAGGACAGTATGAAATCAATCATGTGGAATCAGGTGGAAATTGGTAATTTCTCACTAAACAAACTATAGTTTACCGGAACCTACCCCCAACCCACCCCCACTCACACACACACATATAGATATCCTGTATTTGTAGGGAGACACTGTTGTTGCTGTTAAGACATATTCGGAGGAAATTACATATTTGATCAATTTTATTTATTTAATGTCAGAAACACGGCAGTGAGGTGGCGCTTCTTGAAGTCACAAAAAATATTTTTATGAACTAAATCAAGATCTGTTTCAGTTGTTCAAAATTATTTTTGCTGGGTTGATAGTTCATAGAGCTGTTGCCTCTCAGTAAGAAGGTTGTTGAGTCAAATCCCGGCCGGGGGCCTTTCTGGGTGGAGTTTGCATGTTTTCTCCATGCATGTGTGGGTTTACTTCGGGTACTCCAGTTTCCTCCCACAGACCAAAAACATGCATGTTAGGCTGATTGGTAACTCTAAATTGTCCCTAGGTGTAAGTGAGAGAGTGAAGGGTTGTTTGTATCATTTGCCTCTATGTGTCCCTGTGATGGACTGGAGACCTGTTCAGGGTGTTCCCCACCTCTCGCTCAGTGATAGCTGGACATGGGCACCAGTGACCCCCATGATCCTAAAAGGAAAAAGCGGGTAAAAATAATGTATGGATTTTAGGGTTTCAGGTATAGCTCTTAACTGGTTCATTTACCAATCTATCTAAATGTTACATCGGGGGATCTTGCTTCTTGTGCCTCTGACATTTGGGGTGCCCCAAGAGTCTATACTTAAACCTGAATATTATATAACTTTTTAAATAAAAGTTCCCTTCTGGCTACTTGATACAAAATTCAGTTGTGTGTTTTATCATTGTTATGCTGATGATACTAGCTTAAATAAAATTATTTTATATGTAATTATTCTGTTATCAATTTATTTTCACCTTTGAAAAAGCACAAATTTGCCATTTTCTACCGTAGCATTTATAAAATATAATCCATGTCTTTGTGTCATCGTGATTTATTTTTTATTATTTGTAATTCTTCCCCTTACTGTCTGAGCCATGACTCTGTTTCCAGTTACAGTAGTTTTAAAATTAGCTTTGCCCCCATAAAACCACAATTTTCACACTACACAGAATTTCTATAAACTTCTTGTGTCATGGTTTTTGCTTCTCTGTCATCTGCCACGCCCACGTCCCGCAGCTCATCAGCGTTCATGCACCGCACCTGTTCCTTGCCCTATTTAAGAACCCCACTCACCATTAACCTCTGCCAGATTATTGAACCTTTTTGGAAGTAGATGTCCAGCGTTTCACTTGCAGTCTTGTTTGAGCATCTCGTCTCGACCCCACGCCTGCCTTCTGGACCTCTCATTCTGCCTGCTCTCGTATTGCCATTGTTCTACTCCTTCTGACCCACAGACCTTGAATTACAGATTACCCTTTGGATTTGTCTTTGGATTTCTGACCACCTGTGCTCGACCCCCACTTTACCTCTTGGACCTTGTTTTTGAATTGCCCTACTGGCACATTAATCACAGCACTCCTCTGCAGCTGTCCTTCATCCAGTGACAGTGATGTCATCTTATCCTGCTCCGACAGGTGGCTCCACCTCATCTGCCTGAGAAGGTTAGTGGCTGTTTTTCTGTTCACCTTCATGTTCTCAGAAGTATACAGATGACTAACCCTCATATTGCTACAGATTGGCCCCAGCAATGGATCCTGACTCACACCAGCAGCTGCATTACAATAAACTTTTTAACCCTTCTTGTTGTCTGTCTATTTTACTGAATCCAAAAACCTGATCCTTGTCATCTTGATTTTATTTAAGATCCTTCTTTTTTAAAATTTATAAAGTAACGAACAATCGGTCTCCCGCTCACATCAGTGAACATTTACCTCCTTATACTTCTAGGCCTCAAAGTGTTGTTGATCAAAACTTAATCAACTAAAAATGAGGGAATGTTGCATTTGTTCTTCTGCGTCCCAAACATTTAAGGATGGCAAGTTTTATTTTATATTATGTTTTAAATCATAGTTGAAGATTCACTTCTATCAATTTCTTCTTCGTGTTTAATTCATCTGCTTTAGGACTCTCCTCACATTGTTAGGTTGTCTTAGTGTTTTTGTGTTATCTCAAATCTTGTTTTTGTTTCTTGTGTATATGAAACACTTTGTAACCTACAATTAAAAACGTTATAATGAACTGGCTAACTAACCACTTGACTACCTCTAACTCTAAAACCTTTTTAGTCCCATAAAGCTGTTGCACCCTTCCAAGGTTTACTTCTACCTGTTTGATTCCCCTAGTTGGATAATACAAATACTGACACACACGCGCATCAAGTATTTTTCTCACAGTTTTTAGACCTTGATTTTCTTTTTATATTCTCAGATGCATACAGCATATTGAGATGCACTTGATTCAGTACAAAAAAGTGTACACAATAACTAAAACACATAAAAAGCAGGATCTTGCTAAAGCTCCTGCAAAAACAAACAAAAACCTAGAGTGAGAAATAAAAAATCTTGGCTCTTTAATGCACCATTGTGATTTTGGCATTTGCATTGTTTTCTTGTTTTATATGCGTTTTTGCTATTGTGTCCAGCTGCTATTCTTTTCATAAAATAAACATTTTGTGCTGCCTTTACCCTTACGTTTCCTAAGAGTGAGAGCAACAGAACAAAAAAGATGGATACTGTATATCTATACACTATATTTCAAATATCACACAGTCATTTAAATCAGCAAATGACACATCCTGCAAATTTCTGCCCAAAACATTTCATATCAAAATATATTCAATTTGGACAAGGATTCAGAAATACATTTAATTACACATGAATAGAGTTTAATTACAGAATTTAACCTATACTGTTATTGTTGTTCCCATTTTCAGTATTAATATTTTTTGTCCCAATATAAATATTTCTAAACACTGAATCAAAGGAAAAGAGAAAAATCAAAAGGTAAGTCAAGGATTCAAATGAGACTGAACATCTGTAAAATCCCAAATGTTTTTTCTTTGCCAGATGGTGAGCTCTGGTCTGAGCATGTCCCAAAAATATACAAGAGGATGAATAATGTATTGGATGCAACTTACTTCACAGTGTGTCTCCGGATGAGCTCACACACACACTCACACACATACACACACACCCCATACATTAGATGGTGAAAATGAGCCAGGGATCCACATTTGCTAACCTCTCCCTGTGATGTGAACAAGAACAAGAAACTACTCTTCTAGTCTATGTTGGCACCACGTCAAAAAACAGAAGATATAAGCCAAATCATCCAAAATGTTCTAATTTTACCGTCAATGTTGTCACAAACTGAGAAAACGCAGATTAAATATGTCTTCTCTTGTGTGATTTTCATCTTTCTTCACAATGACCTTCCAGTACATCTCTAGAGATTTTGGCGGTCTCAGCCCCGTAAAGTTTTACTCAATTGAGAGAAAAAGGCTGAACTCTGATGGACAGTATGGTCGGGCTCAGTCTCAGTAAAGCCGCAACTCTAACAGCAAACTGTTGTTAAAGAAACTTTGCTGGATTATGAGGCCGAGCGGCTTCATAGCAATGATAGTAAAGAAGATAAAAGGGGCAGACTTTAAAAAAAGTCTTCTTATGAGTTTAAATCAAGTCCAATAGATAAAGAAAAAAATCTTCAAGGAGTCTTCTTTTAGAGATCAGGCAGTAGGTGACGAAAAAAAAAGAAAAATCACACCAAAAAGCCAGGTACTTCAATGAATATCCCTTTCCCCTTTCCTCTGATAACTGCTCTTCACAGGGATTTTGTTCAACAATGAATCCATGAATTTGCAGTGAAAGTTCAATGCTGACGCTGAAAGGTTTCACTTTTTCTATGCTGCTCAGAGTTCCCCGAAGTGTTGGCCAGATGATTTCTTGCTGGGATGACTGGCGGATGTCTAGGCGATATTTTTTTTCTTTATTGAGTCAGGCCTTGTTTAAAGTTTGAGAGGCTCATAAGTGAATGGACACGATGTTCAGGCATGGTGACTGGCCTTAGCTTTCTTCTAAAAAGGGACGTCAATAAACCTGCAGTAGAGAAAAGAAGAAGAGATAAACAGAAAATGAGGTTGTTTTATATGGGGTGCCATTTGTAAATTTACACAGTCAAAAATTAACAGCAATATATTGGTTTATTTAGCCTTTCATATGGAAAAAAAAGTTTTATTTTTCAGTCATATTTTCACCATGTCATTCATACATTTATAAATGTCATAGTTCCAAACTAAACATTTAATTTACAAGCTAAATATTTAGTTTACAAACTAAATAACTTGTGAGTTAAATAGTTAGCTAGCAAGTTAAATATTTAGTTCCACTCTAAATATTTAGTTCCTAAATGTTTATGTCCAAGCTAAATGTTTAATTTACAAACTAAATATTTAACTTTAACTTGCAAGTTAAATATTTAGTTAGCAAATTAAATATTTATTTAGGAAATTAAACATTTAGCTTGGAAAATAAATATTTAGGTCTGAGCTAAATATTTAGTTAGCAAATTAAATATTTAGTTTAGGAATGAATTGTTTAGCTTAGAAATGAAATATTTAGAAATTAAGTTGGAATAATATTATTTAGTTTGAAAATTAAATGTTTAGTTTTGAAAAAAATATTTAGCTGGGAAATTAAATATTTGATTTACACCTAAATATTTAGTTCACTAACTTAAATATTTAGTTCACTAACTAAATATTTAGCTAGTAAATTAAACATTTATCTTGGACATATATATTTATTTTGTTAACTAAATATTTAGTGTGGAGCTAAATATTTTATTTGCTAACTGTTTAACTTGCAAGTTAAGTATTTAGTTTAAATATTTAGCTTTTAAATTAAATAATGAGTTTGGAACTATGACATTTATAAATGTATGAATAACATGATGAAAATATGACTTCATGGAGACCTAGATGCACCCACTGATCCCCGACTCTACACTACAGCTTGCAGGATGCACCACCCACCGCTATGACGGCAACTCCAGTAAGAGCAGAGGCGAGGGGCTGTGTATATACTTATATTTCACAATGACTGGTGCACAAACAGCAAGATTGTAAATACCCACTGCTTTCTGAATATCAAAGTTATATGAATATGTTGCTTGCAGAATTTAAATCTGCCTAGAAAGATAACAGTACTAACAATCACCACAGTTTATATTCTACCAGATGTTAACATTAGCCTAGCTTTTGACTATCTGTACAACATGGTCAACAGACAGCAGCAAGTCCACCCTGATGGTGTTCATGTCATTGCTGGGGATTTCAACCAAGCATGCCTAAAGACTGTCCTCCCTAAATTTGCACATGTGCAGTGTGCCACCAAAGGGTGACAATGGACCGGGTCTATTCTAACCTGCTCATGCATGCAGAGCAGTCCATCTCAAACATCTGGCTCTATCTGACCATCATTTTCTGCTCCTTATTCTTGCATACACTCCTCTCAAGAGGAAAATCAGGCAGATCACAAACGTTAAAACCTGCATGGCTGGAGGTGGCTCTTGTCCAGCTGCAGGACGGCTTTGCAAACATAGATTGGAGCATATTCAAACAGCAGGACCTCCAGGGTTTCACTGAATTCACTCTAACCTGAACACAGATCTTACTTCATGTTCCTGGATAGTGAGAAGGTTTCTGGAATGTGGGGATAGTGTGGCTGTTTAAGGAGTCGTTGTCTCAAAGTGGGCAAATAAATTGTTTGATTCCTCAGCCAGAGAGAAATCAACACTGACAGCCACAGAGGAATTGTAATTGGTGAGCTGTTTAGGCCTTGCTACGCATGATATGGATTGTTGTCAGCCAGATGGTCTTCCACCATTCTTGTGTAGGCCACCTTGACATATTGAATTCCTTTCCTCGGGTCTACTGTGGCCACACTGTACTGGGCATGGTCTCCCAACTTGAAGGCAGCATTACGGGCTCTCAGGAGCACCTGGACTTTAATGGTCATCCAGGGCTTCAGGTTTGGATAAATCCGGATGTTCTCGATGACTGCTACCCAATCTGTGCAGAAGCTGACGTAGGTCCATGAACGTGAGGAAGACTACAGGACCAGATGGAAATCTTGCCAGCATGTTGGAGGCTTGTGCCTTCAAGCTCTCAGGGGTCTTTATTAAGATCTTCAATCTCTGGCACAGGCCTCTGGCCCGCCCTGCCTCAAGTTGGCCACCATCATCCCTGTCCCTAAAAGCTCAATCGTCAACTTAAATGACTACAGGCCTATCGCACTAACACCGGTCTTCGCAAAAGGTTTTGAGAGACTGTTGGCACAGCACATCAAGGACTGCCTCACCATTGCCTTTGATTCTCATCAATATGCAGAGCACATAGATCTACTCATGATGCCATCTCTACCGCCCTCCACACTGCTCTGACCCACTTAGATCTCCATAAGTCCTCCGTCACAACGCTTTTGTCAACTTTCGTTCAGTTTTTAATACTATCCTTCCTGACATCTTGGTGGACAAACTGGCTGCACTAGACTTCTCCCCCGCCACTTAAACCTGAATCAAGGACTCCCTTACAAACTGTCTTCAGTCTGTAAGGATTGATGCACGCAGCTCCGTCTCACAAACAGACTCAAAAACAGCTTCTTCCCATGGGCCATCTGGACTCTAAATATCCGTTAAACTCCCTAAGTGCAATATTCCTCTAGTGCAATATGTTTGGTCGACAACAGGATGTGAAATATCTGTCTGCAGTCTGCTTTTTCTACCTCACAAGTTTTCTTCTGATCAGTATGTCTGTGTTTTTGGTATTGATGTTTCTTTTGTATGAATCTTTGTGTATATATATAGTTGTCTTACTGTTTCCCTATTTTTTATCATTTTAAAACAGTCAGTTGAGGCACCTTCACTTTTCAGGCTGTGCAATGACAATGAAGATTATTCTCTTTTATTCTAATTATTCCATTTTATTTCATTCAATCAAAGATTAAACCAGTTTAATCCACTATATGTACAGAATTTACGAAATTTGAGCTGCTGGTGAGACACGTCTGTTTGCCCCTCTGCTATTCTTTTAATAATATTTAAGATAATATTAAATATTTACCAGATTTGTCTCACAAGAAGCTTTGACTTCTGTGTTTGAGGGCAAGATTACTGTATGTGGATATAATCCCGCCTACGTGAGACTCATGTCCTTTCAGTCATATCTTGCCATTAATTACTTCATTTAGCCTCTCTTGATCAAGAAAACATTTCCTAAATGGTAATAGGAATCTGCCATGAATATGTTATATGCATGAATCCATATACATTAATGTATAAATGATTCAGGGTGACAGTAGACAAATGCAGCACCCCAGGACTGTCCATATAAATCATTCAGACACTTAAGTATAAGTTGGCAAATCCACACAGAATTGCACAAATTTCCAGGGCTGGCAAATAAATATTTATGACTCCCCCAATCCCCCTTTTCTCCCTGTCCTTGGTAATTGTGCGTGATTCATTTTGTTTTCTCAGTGGAGGAGGGAAAATCAATCTTAGAATATTGGCAATGAGACGTAAGGCATGAAGATTCCTAAAGCTTGTGGTTTTGCAGAACAACAAAAAAAACTTAGCAGATAGACGACGTTCTCAGGAGAGGGTTTCACTTTAATCTTCAGCACTTTTCGTTGTGTTTTAGAGGAAAAAAAGCCCCGACTGTTAGAAGTGAAGCTAACCTGTCAGGATAGTAACAAAACCCTGTTCAAGAGCGAGCAAGATTTAATAAAAGAAGATCGACTTGGAGCAATGCTGTCATGCAAAGCACTCTAATTTCACCACCCTGTTAGTTTATGTAGAAAGTGTTCTTTTAAAAACATTTTCCACAAATTATGTTCTAACTTCCTTCCATCTTGAACAAAAACTTGGATCCTTAAAAAAAGCTTCTACCTTTGATGAAAACACAGGAGAGCTTTTTAGTTTCAGTCCTTATATATTTTAAAACTGCCAATAACTGCAGCAATTTCCTTTTTTTTTTTTTTTAACTCCACCGATACATCAAAGTGAATGCTTCCTGAGAAATGGACAATTCCACTGTGATTTTCTTCCAACATGAACTGTATCTAACCTCCTTCACTTTAAAAGGCCCTGTTCCTGATTTGTCTGGAGAAATACGGCGCTGTCGAGCTCGATGCATCCGTTGAAAAGTTTGGCTAAAATAGATGTCAGTTTTTGCAGTGGTTTATTTCTTGAGATAACAAGATGGTCAAACCTGCAGCTGAGACGATTCCAAGGCTGTTATTTACTCTCAGATTTACAGTGTTGATTAGACAACGGGCATTAAAATGACAGTTTATGCAGAGGCTTCTCAAATTTATTCTGACTTGGTGTAATCAAATCAGAAGATGTTGCATTTCAAATTTTTGGTAACACTTTACAATAAGGTACAAATAATTGTGCTTAACGAGGCAACGCCTCAGGAACGAACCAAGAGCTAATGGGTAACCAGTACTCACTGGGGAATACACAGCCAAGCCTTATTAGGGGATTACTGGTTTGTTACCTTGTAAATGAAGAAGAACTAATCAAGAACTAATGGGTAGTCCAAGGAAACCAAAGAGGAACAAATCAGTAGTTAATGAGTAGCTAACCCGTACTTACTAGGCAACACACAGCCAAGCCTTATTAGGGGTTCACTGGTTTGTTACCACAGAAACAGAGGAGAAATTCTCCATATGGGTTCTGAATAAACCCTGCACCAGTGAGGTCACAGCTTGTAATTGTCAAAAATCTGTTTCCTACTGATTACTGGTTTTATTGGATTTTCTCCTTTTGGTTAACTACTCATTAACTACTGATTTGTTCCTCTTGGGTTTCTTTGATGACGACTCATTCTTGATTAGTTCCTTTTCATTTACAAGGTAATAAACCAGTAGTCCCCTAATAAGGCTTGACTGTGTGTTCCCCAGTAAGTACCGGTTAGCTTTCCATTAGCTCCTGATTCGTTCCTGAGGCGTTCCCTAGTAGTTACGCACATTTTGTGTACCTTATTGTAAAGTGTTACCAAAATTCTGTCTAAATATATTTATCCCAAGGTGTGAAGCTGTTAGAGAGTAAATCTGAAAATGTTTTTCTAGTGGAGGTTTTGAAAATCAAGTCCATTGTTGAACGTTGAACTGGAAAAATTCAAGATAGGAAAAAAAAAAAAGACTGGTTAATTCCAGCTCTCATTAACAGTGAACTCTTGTAGCACATCTTTTATGTTTCCTGTTAGATTTAAAACTAAAAACTAAACGTTCCTTCAGTGAATGCTTGTTGCTCGACACTTTTCATGCCTGAGTTTTAGATGATTATCTGAAGTTGAAAAGTGACAAAAGTTGTAGCCATTTACGTCAAACATTGAAAATGACATCATGAGTAATCTCATGTTGTGAGATTTTGTGAGCCGTGATAGTTCTCAGAGAATGGGATGAGGATGACCTTCAGTTACTCCCACATACAGCTTAATATTTGTATAACTGGCTGTTATAGTAAGTTTTTGTTGCCTATGAATAGCTGTGGCAGCCATCCTAAATCAAGTTGTCTCAAAATTTCAGAGTTTTAAATATACAGCCAGTAACTGCCTTCTGAGAGCTGTCATTAAAATCTGCCCAGTGATTATTGAAATATTTTGCTAACAAACAGTGCTGATAACATTTGTAGCTAAGATGCTGCACAATTTTAGAGCTCAAATTATGTGTTGTAAATCAGGGGTTCCCAAACTTTCCCATGCTGTGGCCCCCCAAACCACATTAGCTTCTGGTCAAGGCCCCCCCTCTCAAACCCACAAACAGTGCTGCAAAATATGTAAAGAAACATCAACTTTTAGAATGTTGTAACGTTTATTCACTATATTCAATTAATTCTTACAGCTGCTGATCATAACACTGTTATTAACTAACATGTTTTAAACACATTCCCACTGAAATAAACTTTCCAACAAACTGTTGACCAGAGGAACAAGACAAAATAAATCTAACATCTCTGTCAAGTGTGTTTATCTGGAAATGACAGATATAGATTGCCCTAGTGTCAATTTTTATTATTATTATTACTATTTTTTATTTTTGCTATAAAAAAAATCTTCTCTCCAACTTTCTGGGGCCCCCTTAGCTCACCCCCCCCCCCCCTCCCCAAGGGGCTGTGGCCCCCACTTTGAAAAACACTGTTGTAAATGACTCCCAGCTTCGACCACACCAGATTTTAGTTCAACATTTGTTAAACTAACTGAGTTAAGCTATTTATCCATTTATCCATTCTCTTAGCTGAAAGTTTCCTTTGCAGAGGAGCTGGTGACCATCTCAAAGAGTCTTTGAGATACAGTGGGGTTCACCCTGGACAGGTCACAAGTCCATCATAAATTTAATTTAATTTTCTTTAGTTATACAGAATAGTCTCGTGAAACATAATTGTCTCATAGATGCTGTAGCATTCATGTGTTGTCTATTAACTGTGGTGTCCATCCTGAAATGGGATGATTTCAAAATGTTTATCAAATGTAAAGCACTTGTGAGTTTAATTAAAGTATGTTCAGTGGTTCAAGAGATATTTTACTAACAGACAGACAAGGTTGATATTAATAGTTGTTCCCAAAGTGTTCACTACCGTATTTTTCGGACTATAAGGCACAATATCAATAACGGGTCTGTTTTCATACATAAGGCGCACCGGATTATAAGGCTTGCTGTCAGTTTTTGAGCAAATGAAAGGATTTTAAGTGCACCTTATAGTCCAAAAAATAATGTAATAATAGTGCACCGTGTCTATTTCTCAAAGTTGGAGTTATGGATGATGCTCAGCTACTGCTACATCAGATTTTAGCTCCGTGTCTGTAAAACTGGCTGCATCACGACCATCTGTGTGTTTTTTAATGTCAGTTGGACATAGTGGCCATCTTCAGCTTGTTTGACACCAAAAGTTGGCTGCCCATGTACATTCAACGATTACTTTATCTGAGGTTCAATACATTCTTGTATGTTAAAATAAATAAAGTCAGATTTTGATTTCTGCATGCAAATTAGAATGAAATAGTTTAATAAAGTCATACTTGCTGTTTTCTCCTGCATCCTACGATGGCTCCTTGGGCAAAGGCTGAAAGACAAAAACAGAGGTTCAGGATCGATGGAACAGAGTCATCACAAAGATTTATTTTAGCTTTCTTCACGTAATTTAGCATTAGCTACAGAGCAGGACGTGACCATTTAAAAGCACAGGTGGCACATTTTTCACTTATATCTAAAGAGATACAAAAAACTGAAGGTTAATTTGTCCTCCAGTAGGTTTTATGAGCTTTAAGGATGCTGCTTCTTTCTTCAACCAGAAAATACGAGTGCATAATAGTCACTTCATCTAAAACACAAAGAGAGGAATATCTCTTTTCTTTAAGAGCACCACGATTTTCTCGCTTTAGCTTTAAAGCTTCATGTCAAACTGTAACCCAGTTGATTTCTTTTCAGAGGACACAACTTATGTACTGTCTTTCCCTCGACCAGAAGAAGGAAACTGCTTCCTCTCCTTCTTAATACAACGAACGAGCCACTTCTCTGTAGATAATGACTCGGCTAATTATAATCAGAGAGCTAATGGTGTGTTTAACCAATCAGAGGAGCCACGGGTGAGACGGCTGTCTGGGCAGTGCATTGGCATTCCCAGCCGCGTCCCCCCCCCATTCCCCAGCCATGCCAGGCCCTTTTCGCAAAGAGGACTTGGTATTCCACTGCCCGCTTGGCCTGACGTTCTGTCGATCCGTCCGTCTCGCAGGCAGAACCAACTCTGGGACTCTCAAAGAAATTCAGTCGTGTGAAGAGGCGCTGATCCATCACACCTCTCTCCCGCAGCATGTCATCTAAATGCTAAGTACTTCCACTGCATCTTTAAATCAAAACAAGAAAAGAAATGAGCACGAGGCGAGTGGTTGGAGGGGATAAAAGCTTATGAGGGCACAATGGAATATGCCAAGCAAACCCTTAGCTTTTTGATTACATTCATTTTCAGAGGGAGAGGAAATGTGGGAGAGGAGAAGTGAGTAAGAAGAATGTGCACAAGGTTCCTTATTATTCTTTTGAATGTACAAAAAAAAGGGGGGGGATATGATGTGATTGTTACACATGCCCTATTTATTTTATTTTTTATATATTGTTGTTGGATTTTAGTCCAAAAAAGATCATAACTGCTCCCACAACACAAGCCCCTTCTCGTCCCCTTGTCTTCCTGTCTCAGTACAAGTGCTCGCCATCGATCGGTGTGAGTCTCAAAGTCGCTGAGGCGGCAGAAGTGGCCGGCACTATTAACTGCTGCTACTAATTAAAAGGGTAACAAGGTGAGTTTGGCCCCAAGGGACCAACTGAGCGAGAGACGAAGCGTTGCTGTTCTCGGGTAAACAGCGCTCATCGCCTCCGGTGTTTACAAGACAGGAAATCCAAGGACATCCAAGGCATTCTCATCTCCTCCACTGGCACCACGGACGAGGGAGATCCTCAGATAAGAAGAGGGAATAAGAGCTAATTGCTCGTGTTGCGGCACATTTTCAAACATGTGGTCCGTGTCTCCAAGCTTGGGGTGGCCCCGTTTCATCGCCGCTTGTAAACACCGAGCGCTGTGCATAAATGATAACGTTTTACAGTTCGAGTGAGGTGCGCAACACGGATCTTTGAAAACGTGCCGGCAGAGATTGGCGTATTAAGGGATTCAATTAATTCCCCTCCTTATCACGAACACAGCATACTTCAGGATCAAAGTACATGCAACATGCCTTGTGTTGCACAGTTTAAATATAGCAGCTGGGACAGAATTGCAAGTCAGAAATATTTGTAGCCACAAGAAAACAGTAGAGTAGACAGCTTGTTTGCTCAGCGCTAAAGGGGAAGCAACGATTGCTTTTTTTTTTTTTGTGGCACCTCAAGCCACAAACTGTCACCAGCAGCCCACCCTGCTGTTAAGGACACAGGAGCTGCGCTATCACTGTGGTGCCTAAAAACCTCTCTCTAGGGGTCTCTTCTGACAAGTGCACTCCTGCACAGGATGTGGCTGGTTTCATCTGCTGGAGTCCCACAGTGGACCCAGTGATTACCACTACAGCGGCTGCTGCTTTTAGGCTAACAAGCAAAGCTGGAGCTTTGCTGAAGACGCAGAGAGGGTGCTTTTCTCTCAGAGTATGAGCCCGATGTACAAAAGCAGCAGAGCATCAGACTCGGAGTCCGTCTCCAAGGAACAGAACCGGATTAGTTCTAAAGCATCTGGTTGTGCTTGAAGCTTTGTTTGTGGAGAGGCAGCTTCAGAACGGCCGAGCATCTGTTGACCGGATTCTTTACAACAAGAGTGTAAATAATACTGCAAGGGGACAGCTTATTACAAAAGTAAAACAAAATTGTTTCATGAAGTGTTTTTTAAGTCTTCAAATCTGCACATTTCTAACTTTTTTTTTTTACATTAAGGCAACAGGATACAACATAAATTATCAGTTCATTTTAGCAAATGTGTTGGAAAAAAACGTCCTTAACCTCAACTTCCATTACTGTTTTACCAGACACAGATCATGATTTGTTGATGTGTGTATTGTGTTTGCTTAGTGTTTAAAATAAATGCAGATTTAATGTTTGCTGTAATTAATGTAATATTTTATTGACCACCACCATAAGGCAAAGGCAGATGATAAAGGTTTTACATGTATCTCTGTGGTTTTTAATATCTCATGAACTACTGAACAGATATTAATGAAACTTGAAGAGTGTTCAGTATAAGTACATCTGAAAAAAAAACTGATCAACATTTGCAATCAATCTGATTCAAAATGGCAGCCACAACAAACACTAAAATGGCTGTATATTAATGTATTTTATAGAAACTGAACTGAAATTTGATGTAGTTGTAGCTGAGACCGATTCCTAATACATAATTTAAATGCTAACAAATTGGGTATCTTTTTGTTCAAAGTTTAGCTATAAATATTTGCAGTACTTAAATGCGTGCGTTCTGTGGGCAAAATATTTCATTAATGACTGGACTGATTTTGACTAAACATTTAGGAAATAATTACTGAATGGATTTCTAAATCTGATAAACTTTTGGAGTCAATCCAAATAAAGATGGCTCCTGCAGCTGATCAACCTTGGCAAGCAGAAAAATGGCTACCAGACAGTTTTAAAGATATTCGGCTAAGATTTGTATGGTAGTAGCTGAGAATCTTTCCCAACACAGATTCTGAGCATGACATCTAACATGAAGTTGTGCATACCGTAATTTTTTTGCCTATAATTCAAGTTTTTTTGCATAATTTGCATGCCCTGTGACTTATACGCTGAAATGATTGAAATATCAGCTTTGGAAAATGCAGATGATTTGACCATTAAAGTGCATTTATTAAGTAAAAGTTCAACTGAGACACACCTTTTCTATAATTTTGAGCAAACAAATAATAGTTTTTAAGTATTAATCTTGTTAAATTTGTGTTAAAGTCCTCCCATGCACGCTCCTGTGGCCGCCGTTTGGCAGCCAATCAATTATTATCACAACACCGGCCCACATTTCTGAGTTGTCAGTGGTGACGCGTAACAAACGCAACGCATCAGCAGTGATGCGTAATAGATGTGACATATACGGCGAAGCAATGTATTTATGGATTTTTCCACTTTAATAGACATATTCGGCATGATGTGACTTATAGGGCGGTGCGACGTGTACGGTGAAAAATATGGTAATCTTATTTTAAACATTTGCCCAAACAACTACAGCTTTCTCATTTTTCATCACAAGATGATGTTAAAATTCTGGCATGAGAGGAAGCGGTGATATACATCCTGCTAAGAATTACATGCCTTTAAGTAATTAAAACAAATAGTTTAAAGAACTTGTGTGGCTTAAACTGAAACAAACTCACATTTTGAATCAAAATGATAGAAACTGTAAATAAAGTGATACACAAATCTCAAAATTAATATTTGATTTGAAGTTTTTCTTTCAAAATCAAGTATCACCTGCAAATTTTAAGCAAGCAGAGCACATAATAATTATTTTTAAAAGACTGTTTTGCCAACTGCGCTGACCCTCACCTGCAAAGTGCCTATAATGCTGCTAAAGTGGAATAGAAAAATGTAAATCAAAACTATTTAATACATAATTTCAGCACTTTATACTACAAAATTAACATTTGAGTTTTTAATTTTCACCTCTGGAAGCAGCTTTGCTCATTATTTAACATGACTCAAATTGAAGAGAATTTAAGCTTGCACGTATCTTATTGCATATATAAAAAACTACACTATATAATAAAACAGAAAATATCCAAAGAGATCAAAAGCATTACAGTTTTGAGACCGAGGGCCTGCTGAGCCTGCTTAAATGTGTCCAGTATTTATTATAAAAACCCTGAGCTGAAATGTGGCCTGTGACTCAGCCAATTTCACACCAGACAAAGCTCCAGAGACAAGCAGCATGTAGGCTAAAACATAAGTGGCAGTTCAAAGCCAGGCGATGACAGAACTTCAAATAGGGGAGCGGGCCAGACTGAGCTGGAAGTGACAGCAGAAGGGGCCGCGAACACTTCGGGTCTCGGACTGAAGAGAGACGAGCACAACAGAAGCCCAGCGCCAAATTTACAAAAGCACACTTTTAATAAATGATGGCAGCACAAGAGCAAACAAACAGAAAACAAAAAGCAGCTGTGTTGCTTTTGTTTTCTGTATATGAACGCCAGAAGAACGACTGGTAGAAAGTTTCTGGACAATAATGCGACACCTATAATAACGAATATGAGGACGCGAAAAGGGAAGTTCGGGACTGCTCCCTCTTTTGTGAACATCTCCATCAATCTCACATATTTCAATACATTTTCCGCATCAGTCCACACGCTATCTCCTCCAGACTGATGATCGTGCTACATCCTCCGACAAACAAATGAGGGGAACCCGACGAAGCACATTTTTCTTTTCGTCTTGATAAATTGAAAACCTGTGAATGAAACAGGAGTAACGGGTATATTTGCTTGTTGGGTGTAACGTCTGTGTACAGTGTATTGCGTGTGTGTGTGTTTGTCATAACATCGGTTATTTTCTGAATGTGGGGAAACATCCAAAGGCAAAGGAGGCCATCTACAA